AGGCCTGTGGATATGATCAATTTATTACAACAAAGCTTAGTATGAAATATGACACCTTTTTTGCCACAGGCTCCCAGACTATTACTTGAAACGTTTGAGCATATAACAATAATAGGCAGGCTATAGATAAGATCTTTTTACTACTTTTTATTGTCAGCTTGACAGTGCATAATTTATATCAAAGTTAAAAACAAAATTAAGAATTAAAAGGTATGTCACCAGTTTCAAAATAAAACTGTGATAATATACGCCAATTTTGGTTTATTTTATTTATACATACCTTTTACAGATAATAATCAGCCATTATTCTATTTGATTTGATATTATTAATGATATCAATTACTAGAGAGCTTATTGATTAAAAAATTTATATTTCTTAATATGATGAAAATTTATTTTTATTACCTTTACTGAAAAGTTGGGATATATTAATAATGAGGTTTGATAGCACAAATAATAATTTTTAAGGAATCAGCAGCAGCAGAAAAAATTAAAAACAGTATTTAAAAAATATTTAAAAAAAAGAGAAAGTGAAATTTACAAGGTAATATTAATTTTTAATACTGAATCATAAATAAATGCTCGATTTGTCATTATTAGCAAATCATGTCAATTTTTGAGACAGTAAAAATGGTTAACCTTCCAAATAATTTCGATTAAAAGGATTAAATTAAATTAAAAAAAAAAAAACACATGCACAGAATAAATTAACAAAAATATTACTAAACACAGCGAAAACAATACACAAATTACAAAAAAACAGTAAGGTACAAATTGACAGCTCCTTTTTTTGTTTTTATTGAAATCAAAAGATAATGATGAAAAATATAACACTTAGAACAAGCATTATTCATTAATAGGTGCAGGAAACCATCATAAATCTTAAAATTTGATAATATTGCAAGTGGTTGAAAGTATAAAATTTATAATTAAATGATAATATAAAACTAATTCATTGGCTAAGAGCATGGCCAAAGAAAATAACTAACTGTAAAATCTTTGGATGACATGAAGCAGATGATACTTTTTGAAATCATTAAGAGAATTTTGAAGTGAGACAATCTGAATCAATTTTACAACTGACCAATGAACTACTGATGTATAAATAAAAGAAGTCACTGAAGAGTGGCAATTGATGATTACCATAATAATGATTAGAATTATATAATGTACAAAAATGATGCAAATTACTATGCAATGGTTTAAACCTCTTATTGGCTGCCATTTTGAAATGAAATAGTGGATGATAAATGTCGAGTCCCGAGGATTTTCCTAGAGTGAACAGTTAATATGTCCCAAATTTAAAAAAAAGAATTGATCCCGTAGTATCGAAGAAAAGACGGATTATAGATATCTTAAAAAACAATAGGGGGCAGGGTGGCCGAATGGGCTAAAGTGTGTGCATAGCACCACGAGTTGCCTGGCAAGCGGATAACAGATTTGAGAAGATTAAAAAAGTACGAGTTCGCATCCAGGTGACGGAGGGAATTTTAAATTCCCCACCCCAGGAAAATCCGGTATAACCTAAAAGGCGTGGTAGGGAAGAACAGAAAGAAAGAAAAAAAAAGAGAAAAGATCTTAAAAAACATTAAATCTTAACTTGTGAGAGAAATTTTTTTTTTTTTCCTGTTATTTCTTTGAAATATGAAATAGACAACCTGCGCTTTTTGAGAATAATGATAAAATAAAATATTCTGACCATATGAAATGTAAAGACTCTAATTTGTATACGTATTGTACTTGCTATCAACAAAAGTTGAAAAGTGAGAAAATCATAATTTTCTGATAGTATTAACAAATACTCAATCATTATTTATTATTGTAAAACAAGAAGTTATGAAAACATGATCACTATTATTATTATTACTGTTTTAGAAAGAAGTTAAGTATATTCATTTTAAAAAAGAAAAAAAAAGAGATATTTTGCCATAGAAAAAGTTGTCCATTACAGAACAGAAATAACAAATGAATTTTTTGATAACTCAATAACGACCCATATTCATCAAGATAAACACTTTGTTTACATTACAGTGAAAACAAAAGGGTGCCTAACTTAGGATCAATTATGATTTAATCAAGATATCATTACGACAACTGATTACAATTGGAACGGCTATGTATATAAAAAATTTTTTTTCTAAAATCTCTTTGGAGATATATGTGATCATGAATAACTTTCAGGGAATATTTTAATGAAAGATGAGATAAAGAATTTTATATAGTAATAGAAACAATTAACGTACTAGGATAAATATTCTTGACAGTTCAAAATGAATACTTACATGCAAATTGATATTCACATAACCTCAATAGAAATAAACTACTTCAATGATAGATATTTTTCAAAAATGTGATCAATAAGATACTCAATTATAATTGATTTGCAACTAATAGTGTGAAGAATTAAATACATGACTAATCTCAACATTTCAAAAACAATGGAGAGAGAGAGTAAAATCGAACTGCCCTTCTGATGGCATATCAATCGAATTGTCCACGTTTTTTTGTTTTGTTTTTAAGGAAAGCTTCCTTTTCCAGTCTGAGAAAGATTCCCTGAATATTAAAATAATTTTGCCCAAGTGTTTCGAATTATCAACTTCTTCATTAACTATTGCTATGATGGTTTTTCAAAATTATTGTGAATAGTTTTTGGTAATTATTTTTAAAAAATTACCACCTAAAGAATCATAGAGTACTTATATATGTAACTTAAAAAGAGCGTCTTGTTTGAAATTCTAATTTTCAGCTCAGCTCCATTTCATTCAACTTCATCTTATAAACTTCAACTCCAAGCCATAACATTGGAATTATGTTAAAAATATACAAGTTGGGAAAAGTGTATCCTTTAGTTTTGTTAATAATATATTTGGTTTCAAACAAAAACTTTTAAATATAAAATATGTATAAACAGTTAAATAAGCTAAGATATCAAGCATAGAAAAATATATAAAACACAAACTTTATCTTATATGTATTTTATCTTTTTAAAAACAACATAAAACGTGTCAAAAAATAAACATGCATTACAAGTTATTAACTAACTACAATACAACAACAAATCAAACAAACCAAAAACCGGGAAAAAAAAAAGAGAAAAGCCAGCCTAACAAATAAAACAAATCAACTCAGTATCAAGCAGATAAAAAAGAAAACAATTTGCTAACCTGTTGATTACCTTCAGAAGAATGGTTCGATTCAAAGCCTTTAGAAGAAATTATTTTTTGACCATACACATCCTCTTGGATTTTGTAATTAAAAAAAAAAAGTAGAATTTTAAATAGAAAAACTGTTATAACAAAAAACAAAGTGAAGAGATGAAGGAAGGAAGAAAAACCTACAATATCAAAACAACTTTCATATATTTAAAATTATGTTTTGATTCCATATCTTTGTAGATGAAAGATCACATAGAAAGAACATAAATGCACAGACACACATTAAACAGCTCTTCAATATATAAACATACAAGTACTTAAAACGACTTCTCTAATGTATAAAAATACAGAATCAAATCACGACAGCAAAAGTCTTCAAAAGACTATATGTGTATTATTTTATATTGCCTTAACAACGGAACAAAGCATTGAGAGAAAGGGAAAACTAACAGATGAGTAAGTAAACATTAAATGCTGTAAAACATCAAAAAATTAATAATATAACCATCACCATAACAGTTATTGCCCAAGATAAAATTGTATAACTAATGAACTCTCAAATTTACTTTATTAATTAAAAACAAATAAAGAAAAACAAAAATATAATTAAAATTACAATGGCCATTAATGACTAGCAAATGACAAAAAAAGTTGAAGTAAAAAAAAAAAAAAAAAAGTAACCGCAGTATATTAAAAACAAGGAAATATAAGAAATAGACTATTTATTAAAGATACCTATCTAATGTATTAAGGTACCTATCTAAGCCCAATTAATTTTTATTTCTTGTTTAATCTAAATTTTATTTAAGAACTCAAATAAAGGTGGACGAATCGGTGATGTGAATCGGACAAGAGCGACGCGCTTGGGCCAGTCAGTCATGATCACTATCATGTGTAAACTAACATTAATGGGAGTGGTGGTAGTGTAAGCCCTTAAAAAGAATAGATGTGATATCTCTGTCTGGTTGGCAATAGAATGACCACTTCAGTCGTATTCCTACTGAAGGTTAGTCATAAGTATGGTTGAAATGAAAATATTTTTTTATTATCCTGGGACTGTTGTCCCTTTAGGACAAATTACAGATACAGAATAAATGATACCGGTTGTTGAGATACCGGACAAGTTCTGATATCAGTTTTTGATATCGATATTGCCAACATTGAATAATACTAATACCGAAATAAAAGTTCTGATGGTATTCTGAATAAATATTGCAGACTGGCTAATGAATCACCAGTAGTTAAGAATCTTAAAGTGACATGAAGTTTTGATTCTGCTAGAATCGGTCTTCTCATATTACTTTCTTGTGTTTGAATCATTGGTTTCATTTATAGAGCAAGAACTAAAACAGGTTTGGTCCCATCCTAAAAAAGTTACTGTAGGTGTTGCGATCTTCCAATAATAACTTTCTGCAAATACTACTGATGGTGCCTAATGAATTCTTCCTGTTAGGCTCGAACTCCACTTTCCTCTTTCCCTTGTTTTACAAATTATTCCTCAACTCGTATACTAATAATCCGCAAACAAATTTTTGGCTTCATATTCTGCCATACAGGAATAAGAGCGACAGAGGCATGACATGTGTATAACAGGGTGTATTCTTACCCTGTTAGCTATCCCGTGTAAACTTGCCTTTAATAGAGTTAAACATTTATTATAAGCTTTTATTTTAATACTTATTAAACAAAAGAACCATCAGATTTTTAATTAATGGCGTGGTGTGATATTTAAAAAAAAAAAAAGTTTAGAAATTTAAAAGAAAAAAAAAATGAAGTAAACCTGAGAGTTCAGAATAACTGTTTTATTAAAATAATAATTCCCATAAATTAATGGGTTTAACTCACTCCTCTGTCCCAATTCATTAATTTTCCTTACATCACTCTCGTTACTTAGCTTTTGCCTTTTCCTTTTTAACGCAGCAGGATCTAGAATAAAATAAAAAATAAATATTTATATACATAATTAAAAATAATTTTTAAAATACCCATACTTATACAAATATAAGTTAGGAATATCAAAATGGTAACTTTGACATGAGTTTCAAACAAAGTAATTTAATAACAATACTAGATGTATTAAATAAAAATAAATAATAAACTATATAATAAAATTTTTACAACCAGATAGTTGGATCGTAACTTTCATACACCCAAAACAGTTGCTTAAGTAGACTAGACTAGATAAACCTTTTGAAAATCAACTTCCAGAGCAACCTTTAATAACTTATAATTATTTTGACATAACTCTCCTTAATATAATTTTTAATATCAACAAAAAATACAGTAATCATAAAAAGCAAAATTCAACGAATTAAAAAAAAAAAAGAATAGTTCTAACATAAGCAATTATAAATAAAACATATATACATAAACATATATTATATGTGTACAAAAGAACAAATTGTTCAATAACATAATGTTTTAACTACCTATCCTCAAACAGAACATGAAGTCCAGCATCTTTCATGAAAACAGATCTATGATAAATATTTTTTAAAAATTCTCCCACTGAAACGAACAATTTGCAGTAACCTCTTGATTAAATGCAGCCTAATGAAAGAGAAAATATTACACTTTCCTTCTTATCTCAATGAGAACAATACAGCAGTATTATTTTTTATTTTACCGATTTATTATTGTATTGCAACTCATTAAAAAAAAAAAAAATTAAGATGCAGATTGCTCTCTCCCTACTGATATAAAATACATACACAAATATAACCTCCCCCCGCCCCACCAAAATCACATTAATTAGTTATTGATACATTTCTTATTTTGAAATGGCTTGAAATTTATTTAAATAATTACTATGATGAGAATAAGTCATCGAAGTTAGGAGTAACTAACTAGAAAGAAAATAACATATAACACAGTAGTATATGCGTATAATAATACCTGTATTTATACCCCATCTTGCACTCCATTACTAAGTTATTAACGAGTAAAGAAAAAATTATGAATATAAAGAGTGAATAACCTTTATATATTAAAAATGTCTATAAATTCGTCTTTAATTTTTTTTTTTTTTTTCATAAACTATAAATTATAATTAAAAAATAGTTTATTTTTAAAAATAATATAGTTACAACCATCCTCCACTGACTTATCTTTATTAAAAATTTTCTTCATTTTTAGAGAAGGATAACTAATCGTAACTGACTATATTTCAAAATGATGAAAGCAATTCTGACCTATATAACACAATTTACAACTGTGTGGCACATATCCCCCGACTTAAATAATGAGAATCGACTAATCTGCAAGATGTATGAAAAAAAAGTAAAACAATAAAAAATTAAAGCAATGAAGAAAATTATGATAGACTTTGATTAATATATGAAAATTATTATCTCCATTCTCCCCATATTTTATAAAAGATTAAAAAAAAGTGTTAAATTTAACATACAACAGATTTAAATAAAAAAACAACAGGTACTATCACAATTTAGGTTCCTTAAGGTGTTGCAAGTTATTGGACATAATAAACATTGAAGTTTACTAGGCATTTATGTTATACTGATAAGAATAATGCTTAACTTAGAACCTAATTAACTTTAGGCCGTTCTATAGGACTGTAATAGAATGACATCTCATCAAATTCAGACGCAGTCGCACGCGGTGCGAGAGATGTATATAATGCATAATGCTCCGCCTCAGTAAGATCCACATCGCCCCTGCTAGGGGCTAGTGAATGAGATCTTTCACTAATCCTAGAGGCAACACTTCCCTCACGGGATGATTCTCTTTGTTTCTTCTTTCTTTTTGTGGTAGAAGAAAAAAGTTTTTGAAACAAGTTAAGTTTATTTTTATGTGGAGGGGGTGGAAGAGCAGGAGATTTCTTGGCTCGTTTCGGAGGTAGTGGAGGAACCTCTTCAGTCTCTTTCATAGATGACATTTTTAAAGGTCTCGGAGGAGCAATATCCTCATACCCTTCAGCAGTTGGTGTATCTAACATATCACAAGGATCTTTCATAGCCAGTTGCAGGCTCGAATATATACCAAATTCCGCTTCATTATTATTATCAGGATACATGTTTTCAAGAGATTTAACGTGATCCAGAAACTCATCAAAATTACCATTAACTTCATTTTCAACATCATCTATCGAAGCATCGGGAAGAACGATAACATTTTTCATCGGATCGCTTTTAGCTTCAGAACAATTTTCATCTTGTTGCTTCATAACACAGTCATTAAGATCCTCATTTACAATAGTATTGTTATTGTTATTATTGTCATTTTCGACTTCAACTTGCTCTTTTCCTCCATGCTGCATTATGTCATGGAAATTAAGGTAGTTGGCTTTATTGCGACGTAAAGACCAGAAGAAAGGCCTACCTGAGAGGGGGGTGATTTGAAATGGCTTTGCATCACTTGTAGCGCCATCTGAAGGTCTGCGAAGTTGAATGGAAGCCTGGACCGGATGATCGATCTAAAAAGAAATTTTAAATAAATTAATTCATAACAAAGTTATATGTAACTATAAATATCATTACGTTACATACTTATAAAAACTAATAGTTTTGTAAGAGAGACTTAATCTTTTAATTCTTTCTAGATGTAAATAAAATTTAATGTACTAAGAAACGTTCTCATTTTTCAATAATCCAAGCTTACATTATATTATTTCAGAAATATGAAAAAAATCTTTTGGTAAATTCTAATGGAAAAGAAACATATTTCATTCTTTTAAAAAAAAATATAAACTCAATGAATTCAATCATAGTCATCTATAGTCAGAGAAAGAGTCCCTCGTTACAACCTAAAAAACAATTCTCATACAGCTGGTGTTGCATTTTATATAAACAATCTGGCTTATATTAACTAAGTAACTAACACTGATTAATACTTATCAGTTATTTTTAATATTTTAGACATATAAACAGAAAATAGTAATTTTTTTATGATGATTAAAATAATTGAAAATTTCATGTTATATCTTATATACATTTCTTGAAGTTCGTAATAGCATTAAATGTTTAAGGAATAATAAGGGAAAAACACTAAAGATTATAAAGAGCCTGGTTAATGGAAGATTCCCATATTATATTTTTTATTAATTCCAGCCTATGAAGAACGATCAGGATATGAAATGTTATTTGAAACCTCTACTTACTATCAAACTGTACACCAAAACCTAACATAATTTCGGTTTTTTGAAAAGTCACTAAGTACATTTTTGATGGATTTAAACCTTCTTTATCGATTCAAAAATACAGTAAGTGTATCGAAATCAACAAGACACAAACCTTCTATTTATCAAAAATAGTTACAGGGGAGACTACAGTCAGTGGGTCACTGATTTAAATCATTTTTTTTCTGGTGATATTACATCAAAAAATATTGGACAAATATCCCAGAGTTCGTTCCAATGAGCACTAGGAGCCAAGAAAAAAAAAAATTTACATAATTTCAAAGAAAATTTATGTTTTTTTCCTTTCACTTTTACTGGAACTTTAGGGTATTATACATCAACCGATTTCTTTATTTGTGTAAATAAGAAAAAAAAATATTGACTTGTTGAAGAAAAATATTGAAGAGTTATCATAAATTACAAAAACCAAAAGTAAAATAGGCAAAATAAATTGTTTTCTAAGAAAAAACAAGTTATTCATTTCTAATGTCCTTTAAAATTCTTAAATATGAATTTTTATAAAAACCAAAATTTAATATATGATTTTCTTAAAGTATTTTTTTTTCTGACCAATAACTAAAGCATGCATAACTTCTCAGGATTTTCCGAATTTTCCATAAATTCCAAATTCAATTTTAGTACAACCTTTGAAAACCTGAATTACAACTCCATCAAATCACATAGATAACTTTTAGATTTCATTTCTGTTTAAATTAGAAATAAGGAAAAACTTCCCAATCATTTTAATTTTATATCTTTGGTTCTAAATAATTACAAGAGTCAGTTTTGATCCATTTCGTGTAATATATATAGAACCCTAAATACCTATTTTTTTAGGAAGAAACAAAATCGATATTCGTTTTTCAAACTTAAAAAAACCTTAAATATGAATATTCATAGCAATTGAAAAATCAAAATTTTCTGTAAGAAATTTTTGCCTTGGCAGATTTTCGAAATTTTATCAAAAATTGTGATAAACTTTAGACCGGCTCTACTGATCCACACAAACATTCTTCGGTATTTAGGGCCCTATATGCAACACAAAATGGTAAAAACTGACTTGTCATAAAAATTGAGAAACAAGGATATAAAATAAAAAATGTTGGGAAGATTTTCTTAATTAATTTAAAAAGGAAATCTGAAAGTTATCAATGTGTTTTGGAAGAGTAGTAATTCAGCTTTCCAACGGTTGTACTAACATTGAATTTGGAGAAAATCTTGAGAAGTTATGAATGGTTTAGTTGTTAGGGCGAAAAAAAGTCCTCTAAGAAAATCAAGTATTAAATTTTGCAATTTTTAATTTCTATATAAATTCGTATTAAAGTGTTTCAAACGACATTAAAAACAAATCTAACTCGTGTTTTCATAACAAAAATTTATTTGGCCTACTATACTGGAATGCGCCTATTGGTTTTTGTAATTTATGATACATTGTAACTCTTTTAATAGAATGGTCAATATATTTTTTTTATTCTACACACGAAAAGAAATCGTTTGATACATGATACTCCAAAATTCTGGGCAAAAAAAACAACATAAATTTCGTTGAAATGTAAAATAATATTTTTTCCGGCTCACAGGGCTGAATGGAATGAACGCTGGAATAAGTGTCCAATATTTTTTGATGAAGTATCACAAAAAAAAATTGGTTGAAATCTATGACCCACTGACTGTAGCATTTGTGTGACCCTTGTAAGCACACAATTCATCTTCAAGTTCTCAGTGATTTAAGGTTATGAAATATTACTTAAAGACTTTTTACAATAAACCCACAATTTATTTTAAAAGACTTCAAAACAATAATGTTTAGAACATTATGATTATAAAACTAAATAAAAGTGTTTATGTCAATGAATAAAAGAAAATAATAAAGGTTGAATTATTTTATTACAAAAGTTTGTCAAGATTAGACAACTATCTCACCTCAAGAGTCTTATACCGAGGGGTACGAAATGCAATAGCGGTCTGCTTATGCACCTGAGTTGGCGTGAAGTCGCCATAGCCTTCCCAAAACAATTTACCATCTCTTATTTCGAAAAACCGTACAGATATGTCTTCTATAAAAATAATACATTATTTAGTATATAAACATGTGAAATAAACAATACTGGAATAGTTTTTAAAATACCTTTGGCAACTTTCTCACAAAGCAGAATTACATCCTGCCCACCAGCAACTGAAGCTGAACAATGACTTAATTTGCAGATGACCAAGTCCGCCATTGCCTCTGTAATCGAATATAATATTCAGATTATTAATGATGTAGAGATGGTTGACCGTTGATATAATATGAGGAGTTAGTCGAGGGTGCGGTCAAATAAATAAAAAATTAAAATATATTAATTATTTTGTATTTATTTGTTATTATGTATTTATTTTCTTTATCTGTTAACCCACAGTTATCTAATGTAATCTCTATTAGTTTGTTATACACTTATTCCTTATCTTTTATCGCAATCTGTTTACTTTTAACTTATATGCTATATTCTCCTTTATTTTTATTTTTATTCCTACTTATTTTCCATTTATTTGTATCTTCTACATACATAATTCTTAATATTTAACTACATTGTCACCCACTATATCTCTGATAACATCTTTTATTTCTGTATCTGACAACTTCTTCATATTTTATATATACTTATATTTATTTTTTATTTTCAACATGTTTTGTATCTTTTGTAGCCCTGAAGACGACCTGCAAAGTGGGTCGAAACGTCGGCAAAAATTAAAATAATTAATATATTTTAATTTTTTATTTATTTGACCGCACCCTCGACTAACTCCTTCTCATATTCAGATTATTATTGGGATAATTCTAAACCTCGCAGCCTTACATCTCCAAAATGCACGCAAACAAATACTCGTCAACGTTTCGCCATTCAGGCATCATCAGGAAACAAAAGAACAGCTAATCGAACCTCACTCCATGATGCCTGAATTGGCAAAACGTTGACGGGTTTACCTTTGCCTGTATTTCGGAGACATAAGGATGTGTGGTTTGGATTTTTTCAAATAGTAACCTAACATTTACGTTCTGTCTCTGGATTATTTTGTTACTAAATTATAATAATATTCAGATTTTTAGATGAAAATAAATATACAATAAATTAAATAATAATAAAAAAAAGATACTAAAGATATGAATAAGTTCCATATTTAACTAAAATTAAAAGCTAATTATAAAATATATTTTCAGAAATACGTAACAAAATATGAGAAATATGTAAAAATAGAAACCTGAAAGTTGATCGAAATTCAAAAAATAAAAATAGTATACAATGCATGTATTGATGGAAAATAACTAAAGAATGCACCTTGAGGATGGAACTTAGGCTGGGAGATTACACTCAAGCCTTGCGAAACGTACCATCTTAAATTTTGTTTAAACAAATTGATTTGTCAAGAATCCAAATTTTTCAAGTTTGAACAAAATATCCCGAGAATATAAATATGTAAAAAAAAAAATTGGAAAGTTGCAACAATATTTCCAAACAATTTTAATAGTTGAACAAATTTTTTAATACATTAATTTAAAAAATTACTATATACCTATTTGTTTAGAATATTAATATTTAAATTTACTAGAATCTTTTGAATTTAAACTATTGTGAATGTTACAATAAATAAAATGAGTGAACATTTATATTCCATATCAGTATCTTACTTTTATCGTAGATAGGGTCTGAGACAACAGGAGGTAGTGCTCTCGTAAATTTTCCTCGTTGAGGGCCTTCTAAAAATGCTTGAAAACATAACCTCACTGAATTCAGGTCTATTCCACTTGCTTGTGTTTTATGAGCGAAACCCGCTGAAATAAAAATGTGTTTTAAATAGTAACCCTCAATCAGAAACATATATTTATCATTCGTCAATATTAAAGCATAATTGATTTGTTCAAAGTAATATTGAATAAGGCTGTAGACTTATACTATATTATATTTATACTATCGAGTAAAAACCAATAAAAAATATAGAAGACGATTAGGATAATCATCTAAAGAATGAAATTTCTGTGAGTTGAATTTTAAATAGAAATTTTCTAGGAAAAAATTGTCTAAAAATAATCTCTCTGTTATAGTCCGTGGTACAAGACCCCTTTTTATCAAATTATTAACATCCAGCTGAAACTCCGTAAGTAGCTTTATCTCATCGGAACCTACAAATATTTTATTTACAAAAACTCTCGGAATTGGAGTGTTTTCAATCTGGAGGTCGGCAAACTTTGTCTATTTAATTAGGTGATAAAAACTCGCAAATACCCATTTGCTTTCCACTTTAATCGTAAGATAATTTGAGCACGAAGTCGAGAAAAAATGTTGCCTTCAAAAATATTGAGCCGTTTGGCCTATTTAACCTCATTATTTTTACAATTTGGAGGTGTAGGTCAAGCCAAACGGCTCAATATTTTTGAAAGCCATCTTTTCTCTTGACTTTTTGCTCAAGATATCTTATGATTAAAGTGGAAAGAAAAATGTGTATTTACGAGTTTTTAGTACCTAATTAAATAGACAAAGTTTGCCGAACTCCAGATTGAAAACACTCTAATTCAGAGAATTTCCATAAATAAAATATTTAGAGGTTATGATGAGGTGAAATCAAGAAATAATGAACATGTACAAGGTTAGGGACATCATCCGTTTTATAAAGGTGAGATGGCTCCGTTAGGCTGGTCATGTAGCTAGGATAAGCCAAGAGGAGCCAACTCGAAATATTCTGGATAAGAAGATCGAAGCTAAATGAAGGGTTGGACGTCCAAGGCTGTACAGCCCCTATGGCAGGATGGTGTGACATCGGACGCCCGCTCCATCCAGGTAATAAGAAACTGGAGAGCAGTGGCACAAAGAAGACAGGATTGGCAGAAATCATTACAGGAGACCCTGATTGATAAAAAGGGGTCTGTACAACGGACTATTAAGTGATACTATATCGAAAGAAAGAGATTAAAATATTGAGTTGTTAGTAGATGATTTAAAAAACTAAGTACTTGTTAAATACTAAAACCATATTATTAAATTGTCATTACCATATTAATTAAATTATTATTAAATAAATTTTAATATTGACAAATTCAACTCTATCAACTTTACAAGAGGTTAAAAGAAAATGCTCTGATTATTTTTGCTAATGCCCTTATATTAGTCGTACTATAACAAAGAATGGTTGTAAATCAAAGTTATGGTAAAACATATTTCATAAGTAAATAAACAGTAACATATTTTTCTATATGGTGTAATAAGTTATTTTTGAATTAGAGGGTATGATAGCACTAATTTTCAGATAAGGGGGCAAAACCTTTTGGATTAACCAAAACAAATAGAATACTTTTATTGATAGTTGTAAATTGACAAGATTACATTGATAGCTATAAAATCTTAATATTTATATTCAACCTAAATTATAAGTATAAAAGGGTTTGAAAGTTAACTTACTCTTAAATGGATCCACTCGCATTTCTTCTCTGACCTTAAGGGCTTCCTCAATATCTTTCTTCTTAACACACTGAATTCCAAGGTTAGCAAAAGTGGCGGTCATTGTTTCACCACCCACTTCTACAGTACAAACTCCTTTTTTGCATCCTTCTTTTCCCACAAGATTATGTGGATGAGGCCTATATGGTTCATCCTTTGTCACGCATGAAACCACTACTACTGCTCGTCCTTGATAACCAACAATCTATAAACAGATAAAAAAGAAATATGTACATAAAGTAGGTAAAATCTTTTAGTACAAACCATTTCACAATTTACAAAAAAAAGTATAATATTACAACAATAACTATTTCATTCTATCTCACATGAGCTGGGAACCGGATAGAAAGAGTCTATTGAATATATATTACGAGACCATCAGAACCAAACTGGACTATGTTTCAAGCGTTTACAGCTCTGTTTCAAATAAAACTTTAAGGATGTGGTACACAACTCTGCATTAAAAATTTGTAGTGGGGTATTGTCAACCTCTTCTGTGGAAAGTCTATGAGCAGAAGCTGGTGAACTTCCTTTCATATTTCAGAAGGTTATTTCTGACAATGAAGTATGGCCTTAAAATAAAGACCTTCTGTAATATTAATCTGTAAAATATTATTTTATAGTGAGGAAGTGTGTAATAGGAGGAAGAAAAACTTAGAAGCACACCTCGATAATTTTTCAGATCTAAAAATAGAAAATTCTCAGGATGTGTTGGATATAATAATTTGTTGATGGACTCATGCCTCACCAATTATAGATAATCAAATTGCCAGGCACAACTCCATTGGAATCAATCAATAAAATCCCATCTTTTTTTTTTGTGTGTGTGGCTAAAATGCACGACGGCCATGAAGGACTTCAAAATTCCTTCAGAGGACAACTTAAAAAAAAAAAAAATTAAGAAAGATAATTGGAAAATGTGTTAAAATAAGAGTGAACCAACAGAGTCAAAATTAAGGGAAATAAAAACTCGGTTCAAAATGGGAAACCTCTTATCGGCTCTCCATGAAAGAAGAGACACCCGTCTGCAGATTAAGAATTGAACATAGTGAGTTCTTGCATACCTACCTACAAGAGGACTTGACCTCCGACCTGTGAGAGCTGCAATGTCTAAAGGACAGAAAAACACATTATAGAAGACTGCCCTATACTAAAAACAATCAGAAAAAATTTGGATATGGCACCAATTCTAAAAGAAAATTTAAAATACAGTGAAAACGCAGTTAAAAAAAATTAGCATTCCTCAAAGCGGTGAAACTTTATAATAGAGTTTAATTTCAAGGCGTTGCCAATGACCCTATAGGGTAGAAGTAACAAGAAAAATAAATAAATAATAATATTTTATTATTGTACTCTAAACTAATGTGACACTTATTCACAAATGTTAAGTTGTTCTGACCAAAGCAAATGCTTAAAAAACATATCAACTAAAGAAAATCTATAACTCAATAACACTGCAGAAGAAACAATGTCAACTGATTGATACTTAATGTGTAAAGAGAATTCTGTGAAAACTTATATGATTATGTTCCACCTATTTCAAAAACATGATAATGTTACCATGTTCTAGAAAATAATACAACCATAATTTTTTGGTACTCCTTAAATAGCCAGTCGGGACGAAACCTCCCTTGTTATCTAATGTTACATCACATAACCTCACTTCTTATCTCGAGTTATTCCACCGTTTATTTTTGCTCTATTAGTATGATTTTCGTCAAATTATTGATGTGTATAATTTGACACAATTACATTGTGGGAATTGCCATCTTCAGAAGAAGAGGCTATCAAATATTTTCAAGACGCCGGGATAATTGTTTTGTTATTATTACATTTGTTTTCGTCTATTTAATATATATGTTGTAAAATAAAAGTGTTTAATCAAACTGTTTTGTTATTATTACATTTCTTTTCGTCTATTTAATATATATAGAAATTATATATGTTGTCAATTTAATATATATATATATTATATAAATAATATATATATATAATATATATATATATATATATATATATATATATATATTTTTATTATTACATTTTGTTTTAGGATAATTGTTTTGACACCGAGATAATTGTTTTGTTATTATTACATTTGTTTTAGTCTATTTAATATATATGTTGTAAAATAAAATTATTAATTTCTTTTCGTCAATTTAATATATAAAGGAATTATATATGTCGTCTATTTAATGTATATATTTTTTTATTATTACATTTGTTTTTGTTTACAATTTCAATAATATGAAAATAATACAATATATATGAATACGAAGATTGGAATTATCAGAGTTAAGGTTATTAACATTGGCAGTCGTCCTTGACCAGCTATTTAAGGAATACCATTTTTTTGTTATATTTTAAAAATTATTAACTAATAATAAATGTTACCTGAATCGTTGGGAATGTTTTGACCTCCGGAGTTGAATGAACTCCTGGAAGACTTCCGGCTGATCTTCCTTCACATTCATAACGAAACCTAGGACCAAAATATTAATTTAAATAACATGTAAATTTAAGTGAATATAAAAAAAAAATATCATCTACTAAGTGTACCTTAATGCTTTTGAAGCAGGCTGTTCAACAATTCTTACATAGGTATTTTCGGAACTTGGTCTTCTTAGCGGCATTGAAACAAAAGTTGGGTCTGTTTCTATCACCTCAACTGTGGAAATTTCAAAAGTTACATATATATATATCCCATCTAATGATTTAAAAGAAATAAACAAGGAATTGCAAAAAATACTACTATACAGTGGCAGACATATTTAGCACATATCATTCCATAGACATTACTTTTCATTTCTATTAATTCATTAAATACAAAGTTTCATTTCAATGAACAATACAAACGATGCCAAAAAAACCTGTAAAATAATTTTGAAACAAACAGATTATAATTGAAAGGAAAAACTCCCTTCTATTTACAGTCTCATATATTTATGTTTTGGAGTTTTAGGTGCTCTGCACCATATTCATCTAACATTATTTTAATACAAATTAAATCAGAGAAGTAGGTTTATACATTAAATTTGTTAATTGTCACTCAGAACTCCACCTATATTTCCACATATCTTTACAAATGATCACTCAATCCATTTTTGAATTTCGTTCTTTGTATAAATTTTATCAATCATTATAGATTGGTATCTAAATTTACTAAATTCTATTTTAGAATTTTCCATCTGTAAGTTAATAAAAGATAAAAATAAATTTAAAAACCATGGTTTAATAGGTAATTGAGTGTTATAATTATGTTTATTTTAATTAACCAGAATCAAGAATTTGCTTATAATACCACTTACTATATGAGGGGAGAGGATCCCCTGTTGTACTATACTTTCTGGTTTACCATCGTACTCTTTGCTCTGGTATTCTGTTTCTGGGTTTTGAACGCATGTTAACATCAAAATTCCCACCCCAAAACAACTGTAACTCCCTCCACTGTTAAATTTAAAGGAGAGAAATTTATTTTTAAAAATGTATACATATTTCCCTGAGTCAGGATAAAAAATATGAATACACATCTGAGACAATTTTTGGAAATTTAGATTGATACATTAGATGTTATCAATCTATCATGATTGATAACATCTTATGTATAATATACTAAGAACAATATACAAGAATATAATAATATACTAAGAACCAAATCCAAAAATGGATTGAATGGGCATTGTAAAGATATATGGAAATATAAGCGGAGTCCTAAGTGACAATTAAAAAATTTAATGTATAAATATACTTTTCTAATTTCTTGTATGCATATTGTATATTTATATATGTATATTGTATATATATTGTAATTTAATTTGTATTAAAAAAAAATGTTAGATGAATATGGTGCAGAGTATCGAAAGCTCCAAAACATAAATATATGAGACTGTAAAAAGAAGGATGTTCTTCTTACCCTCAATAATATTACACATTCTACCTATTAAACAGAACAAAATTTGATAACCAATGATGATTTTGTTAATAACAGCAGATTTTAGGAAAGAACATGTTAACAGGTGAGTTGAACTTTCCCAACCAGATTATACTATATTAAAATAAATAAAATTATTAAGTTTTAATGATAATAATGTAATGAGTTAAACTTAATATGTGAAAAAGGATGATATGCTTATAAAATGGTCTCAGAAGCAAAAAAGTAAGATCAGATTAAAAAAGAAGACACATAAGCAAAGAGAATGAGAAGAGCATAAATAAATAAAAGATGCATTAATTTTTCTCATCTAGGTACCAATTTATTTGGGCTAGAAAACATGCATGCAAAACTGTTTGAACTGTAATTTCTATTCAAATTATTAAAAATGTAGTGAATTATAAAGGCTTATAATTTAAAATTTCAACATTTTTAAATATTCATAGAAATCAGGAATACAATACAATCTTATTATTATTGTACTATACATATCAAAATAAAAAAAAAAAAAAAACTTAATTTCTTTGAGAAAATAAGTTTTTAGGGTATTTAGGTAGTTTGTAAAAAAATAAATTCACATTTTGGCAAATAAATCAATTAGGCATTATAATAACAAAGAAAATTAGCAGTGAGATCAAAGCAAAGCTTAGTTTTAAAATAAGCCTCTGTCAAACAGAAAACATTTAAGAGAATAATTAGAACAAATGGTTTTGCACTTAATACTTACTGACATCACTTATATTTATCGAAGAGTTGTTGTCATCCCCATTTTGGCCATCCATTCTGCTTAGATTATATCCAAATTCTGAAATATTGAAGTGAAGTTGACAAACCCTCTAACCATCCAATTCTTACATTAGGCACAATGTAAGCCACATTCAAATCAAACACAACTGAATCTGATTCATTCATTGCATACTGTAAAACCAACTCATATAAGCAATTGTTAAAAGTTAGTAACATACAGAAGAAAGTATAAGAAAAATATTAGCAAAGTCAAAATAACCGAATTAATGATTATGATAAGGGCTGAATGACAGTTATCAGCTTTATGATTTTTAAAAGTAAATCAAGACCTCATAAATATCCCAAGCATGCACAAAAGTTTCTGACAACAGAAATTTGAGGCAAACCATGCACCAAAAAAGTTCACACTTTACAGACCTAAGTCACTTATTGGAAAGTTGTTATTATACATTTATTTTCAGTAATTATTTGCAGCAGTATCAAAGATGTTCAATGTTCATCACAACTTTTCAGGTAAAAAAGAAAACCTAAATGAAAAAAATAATCAACCTACCATAATCATTTTCCATTGATAAGAAAAAAATACATAAAGAAAGATTTTTTACAAAGCGGCAAAGTAACAAGAATCAAACGTAAATAGCCAAGACAGTAACCTTTCCCATAGTAAAAGGTAACAAGTGAAGCAACAAGTTGTTTTGAAGTTAACAACAAAATGCAAATTGACAGTAATTATAACCTACGCATTTAAAAATCAAAACTCACCATTATAAGTTCCACATTATTTTTGTTAAGTATTAGTCTTGATTTGAACAGTTTTTAGTAAATTCAAGGTCTATGTGTAAAAATTAAAAATAAATTTAAAATTTAATAGCATAAAGATGGATCCCGAAAACAAGACAGATATTAGAATCTAAACCAAAAGAAGGAAGTTAGGAAGAGAAGAAACCTTCCAAACTACTGAAAAGATAGATTATTTCGGGAAAGTATGACTGCACCGATGACTGAAATAGACTGAGCGTTCATTGGCAGGATTGGACATCCGAGAGTAGCGCCCGGTTGGCCCCATCTTCGCTTCTGCGATTGCGCGCCACTTTACGGTTTATACGCATGTCACCTAATCAGCTTAAAAACTTGTTTTAAATGAGAAAATTCATATATTAATAGACAAAGCACATCTCAAAAGTTGTAAAAAAAACTATACTAACATATTATCATTATGTGTACCTAATATACTCTACATGGTTTAAGAGAAAACAAGTAAATAAAGGAAAAAAAACAAGTCGTCCAATACACATTAAATATTCTTTTCAAGGAAACAATCAAAATAATAAAGGTTCTTATTAAAATAAATTATAATTTTGTTAATAAATGTTTCTTTTAGAATACTTTCATACGAATTTCATTAAAATTGAATGGAATATTGAATATTATTATATTTCTGGACAACAAGCAGGTTTTTGAAATTTAAAGTAATTATAATTCAACTATAATAATTAGGCAGTGTTTAAATGAATATAATTAACTAAAAGTGCATTAAAAAAAATCAGATAATTTCAAAACTATACAACTTTGTTTAAGATTTTAATATAAATTGATAAAAAATTTGTGACAAACAATTATTATGCTTTCTTGTTTTCAGTTGGGAAAAAAACTCCAACTTTTTAAAATTATTTATGCTAATTCTTGATGAGTACAAAATAATTCCGAAGTTAGACCGGTTATCTCATGGAAAATAACTTATGGTTTTCAATTGTATTCAAATTTATTTAATTGATATTAGCAGCGCAATAATGTGTTTAATTAGCAATATGATATAATAGTTGATGATTTTCATATAGTTACATAGTTGCACGTTATTACTACGAACCGTAATTTTTATTTTGGACTTTTAGGTGAAACCTTACTTATAGTTTTTTAGAGGGTGACAACCTCTTACCGATTTTGGGGAATTCCCAGATAGGTATGTTTCTTTTGGAAAGTTATTTTTAAATGTTTCAGGCACTTCTTTAATACAATTGTTTTTGTGCTAATTTATACAATTTTAACTGATTCTCTTTTCAGGATATAATTTTAAAATAATTAATTTAAAAACCATTTCGCAATTATACTTAAGATGAAACATGGAAGGTAAAAGGGGTGTCACAAGTTGTTATGTGGCAGGTGATTAGAAGAAAGTGAAAAGAATCTATTTATTTTTAGACGATGGGCCTCGGGTTGTTTGTTATGGTAAGAGTAATATTAATGAATTTCATAAACATTTATAGAATTTATTTGATGGTTTAAATGCTAATCCATTTGTTTATTTTTAATCTGAAATGAAATTTAAAAAGCAATATATCTAATATAATTTATTAACAAAAATCACACACGACTCCTTTTCTTTTGTTTACTCATCATTTATAGTGTTCAAAATATCCTGTTTTATCTTAAATTGTTATAATTCAACAGTTATTAATAAGGTCTTTTAAATGTGGTACAATTAGAAAGCATAACATAATTAATATCGAAATCAACCTAAGTCCAAGATACTTAACAGCAGGACTTTTTTTTTAATTGCTTGATACTCATATTGAATAAAAATGTACTACAAAAATGCCACTTTTTCAATTTAATTTTGGACAAAATTAATTTATTTAGTAGAAGTTTTAAATAAGTTTTTTTAAATATAAAGATTCTAAAACCTTGAACTGAAAATGATCACGGGAATAAGATCCAGTTCCGAAATAATATAATAAAAAATAAATAAATTAAAATTCAGTTAATTTTCATTCCAATCACAGCTTGGCAGTGCCGGTGGTATATATTGTCGGTTTTAATCGAAAACTGCTGACCAACAAAAAGTTAAGAGTTAGGGCAGCAAAGGTGCAACATAGTTGTAACTCATCATTATCATTAAATCATTATCGATTTTATGATTATTCCTTCCCTTATCTATTGTGACAGTGGTTTATTATAAACTATTTTAATTCGGCTCGTTGTGTTAATTCTTTATTATTTTGTATATCTCATCCATTTTATTTGCAATATCGTACAACTTAGAATTCGATATATTTCTACTTTTTAGGTATTATTTAAGTATTATACGTTGGATGAGAGATCTCCTTCTTTAAACAACCTAATCGTTGAAACAAGTCTGGGAAGAGGTGCTATTGAGTACTTTTCATTGCTCATGCCTGTCATGTCATTATTTCCTGTATTTCAAGCACATTTGCTGATTGTCCACAATAAGTTGACAGGCGCAAATAAATTTTTATAGACAAAAAAATTATTAGTAATTGTTGCATAAAAAAATCTTTCCTTTGATTTCCAATAGATTTTTAAAATATTTTCAATTTTTAATAATTTATTAGTTTTATTTAATTTAGTATTAATAATAAAGATTTTTATAATCGTGCATAGTCGTATAAGATAGAAAATCTTGTTCAAGACAATAATGAATAAGCACATAATCTACGTATATTTTAATAATTCAGGCCTGTCATAAAAAATGTAATTGTTGTGTTTATTAATGTTTTTATGTATGGCCGAGGAATTAAAATAATATAAAATATTAGGTGAAATCAAAAGCACTGTAAATAATTTTGTTAGCAGTTAATTAACATTAACATGGACAAATAATACCTGCATCGTTTTTAGACTAATTTTTATTTAAGTTACAAATAAAAAATACAATTTTATCCGCTATTCCAGAGTTTTACATATATATTACTATAGAGAAATTTGAATTATCAATCCTTATTTTTATGATATTGATGACATATTATAATAAACATCATAAGAAAAGAAAAGAAGTATAATTGTTCAATTTCATCAGCCCCCGCGGAAATTTCACTCCCTTGTAATACTACCATCATTCAATTTTTTCTGTTTTTCATCTTTTGAGCTGTACTTCTGTAGCTTCCCTGCGCTCACTTGAGGCGAGTTGAGTTTCTTTTTGCTTTTTGTCAAATAATTGTGAGGTTTATTTTTTAAGTTTTATTTATTTTTTTATACTGAAAGCAAGCATTGTATATTGTTCTCTTCGTCGGATTCGGACTCGACGTGAAGTAACAGTAGCTCAGCGTCCACGTCTATCAGAACTAGGCAAATACTTAGCTTGATTCAATTTGTGAAAACGGCTCTGAACTAGGTGCTATATCTCCCCTCTGTTGCCCCTCTGTTATACCTCTCCTACGCCTGCCCTGCGCTCAATTTTGCCGGCCTTATGGTTATTTTTTTATAGTATACATTTTAAACACAGTGGCCAACAATATCTTTACAAAAAAAAACAATTAATTGTTTTGTTATTTCTCCTGTTCGACAGTATATCACTTGCTGGTATTTACTATTAAATTTTGTGGTCAATACAATGAAAATTTTATTTTTCAAACATTTCGCTCATTTGAAATTTTGGGATAGAACTGTTACGCGGTTTCATATTGGAACCGACGACATGGTTTAGGTATTTTTACCATATTATTTATGTAAAGTGTAATATTATTTTTGGAAATTTTAAATTTTATCCGCGACCCTGGAATACTATTTGGCCATCTTCTTCTTGGTTAAAATTACTACAGTCTTACATAAAAATAAAAAATCATAAAATTAACTGAATTTTAATTTATTTCGGTATGACTGTATCTTTTATTTTTTTATTATATTATTTCGGAACTGGATCTTATTCCCGTGATTATTTTCAGTTCAAGGTTTTACAATTTTTATATTTAAAAAAACTTATTTAAAACTAATACTAAATAAATTAATTTTGTCCAAAATTAAATTGAAAAGGTGACATTTTTATATTACATTTTAATTTAATATGAGTATCAAGCAATTAAAAAAATACTTTTTATAAAGTCCTTAATTATAAATAATTAAGTCCTGCTATTAAGTATCTTGGACTCCGGAAGGCGCGGTGTGTATACCATCCGGCAAAACAAACTTTCCGAGACCCCTTTGAGATGGACGAAACCGTTCTTCTCAGGGACAGATCGAACTGACTCATTTAGCGGAGTTTGGTTCATTTTCCATGTGATTCACAAAATAGGTATAGCTACTAGTTCTATATTATGACACAATCGATCTGCAAGGATAGAAGTCACGAATACCTATAAATAATCCGTGGCCATCCTGTTTTGAATTGTCTCAAGACATCATGGAAAATGGAGTATGGTTAAAAATAGGTTTGTGGGTAAGGAGTGTACAGTGGAAGAAAAAGTATTAATTTCGAATTTAATTTGGAACACGCGAAATATTTAGCTCTTCATGGATATTTGCAAAGGAGCTTTTGCAAGATACTTCGAAGGGAAAGTTGATATTATGTACGATACAACTAGTTACGTTTCATCCGATACAATAAACACTTGGTGATAATACTAAGTATTACTAAAGTACAAATTTTATTTTGATAATTAAAGTGGGGAGTTTCGGGAGTTATTTTGACTTCTTGGCTTTGGTAAGCTCCAAGAACGGTCGATAAAAAACAAAATAAGATAACAGAGGCCTAAATCGATCGGTAAAAGGAAACGTGCGTGTACTATCGAACAAGAGACGGGGCCGGAAAGTCTGCCTCCAGGTGTGTAGACCGTCGGCCTGTCTGTCTGTGGCCGCGGGTGACTCATTCGACCCCCGCTCGATAGCCGGGGGTGGTGACTCACGACCACCCTCTTAGTCAGCCTCTATATCCTGCCGCCCCCGACCACCTGTTGAACGCTGGCGATATCACCCTCGCAGCGGATGAATCTCCGGGTCCAGCGTTCTGGCGCCATGTCATCGCTTCGGGGAGATAGAGAGAAAAAATATTTAAATGGCACACCGCCAATCATGTAACCCCTCCTTCCCCTCCTGTTACTAGTTAGCTCCAAAAATAAACATTGCGTGATGTCTCCATTCTCAGCTCCGGTCTGAAATACCACCGCTTTTGTTACGTTTTATTGCAATACTCCATTAGGTATATTATAACTGTTGCTGTGATCGTAAAGCCGATGTTATCGGTTCAATATAATGCAATGAACGTTTTCAAATTAATCTGTCTTTCACCCTTTGCTTCCCCCCTCCGTTTCCTAATTATTAATAAACTCATTATCTCTGTGATGTTTTTTTTTTTTTGTTGAAAACGTTTTTATTACATTCAAATATTTTTAATTAATTTGGAATTTTCTTTATACAATAAAAAATGACCTACAAATCTTTTACATACAAATTATGTGTATATATACAATATCTGTAAACATGAAAAAATAGGAGAAAAAAAAATGTTGCTTTTCTTTCCAAAAGGAAAAAAAATGGTACACATCTCTTTATTTCAAAAAGTCACTGTATACATATAGGCGTGGTACAGAATCCTTTTTATCAAATTATTAACATATAGT